ATATATATATATATATATATATATATATATATGTGTGTATGTGTGTGTGTGTAGTGACAGACATCATCCAGGCTGGAGCCAAAAAATCGTTAAACTAGCGCTAATATACATATATTTAATCAAATATACTTGAGCTAGCACTAGTATGAAGTTCTTGAAAGAATAATATCCGGCCTGGATGATGTCTGTCGTTATATATGTGTGTATAATGACAGACATAACTATGTATATAAGCAACAAAAATGAGCTTAAAACGAAAAAATATATACACAGACATATATACACCAGCATATAAGCATAAAATGAGCTGAAAAATAAATATATATATTTACTTTCAGCTTATTTTTACCACTTATACGCTTGAGTATGTCTGTCATTACATATATGTGTATATGTATATATCTATTTATTTCTTTTTCATGTCATTTTTGTTGCTTTTTATATAAACATATAATGACAGACGTCATTCGAGCTGGATCTTATTCGTACAAGAACTTTAAATTAGCGCTATGTATATATACAGCATTATATCTATGCATTCATATATAAATACAAATATATAAATCCGCTTATTTATCTCTAGCTTTATATATATGAATGCATATACATAATTCATTTTTTAGAATTAGTCTACATTAGTAAGTAATAATAATATCAGTCACTAACTAACTTATTCAAAATTAATTGGCATGATGGAATAAGAATGATATCCAGCTCGGATGAGGTGTGTCATGAGACGAACGAGAGCTGAGACCGTTTCCACCAAAAGCGAAAGGAAAGTGCCTCGGTGCGGAGCTAAACGACAGAAGAAAGGCAGGGATGTGACGTCATTTTCTGGTGAGTAGAAAGCACCAGGACTCGTCTCCTCGTTGGCACGTCAATTCATGCGAGACATCGAGACATAATTACTTGGGCGCCATGTCGCCCGGCTCTGACAGGTCCTCGACTTTGTGTATGCGCATGTAGCAAACGGCATTTTGCGATCCACGCGGCCCGCAAAGGATCGCCGCCTGCAGCTGAGGCTGAATCCCCTGTTCTGCGAATGATAACTTTTGCTGACAACAACTGCTAGTACTAATACTACCATCACCACCACTACCAATACCACTACTGTACGCACAACATCAATAACTACTACTGTTACTAATCATAC